GTTGGAACAGCCGATGTCTTGGCTTTTGGTCTTGCATGTTCTCCGCAACACGACGATCTTCTTGTTGCGCAGAGCGCTCCTTGTCGTCGTCGTCTCGATCCTGTCGGACTGCGCCAGTAAAACTCAACCTTCTACCCACTCCCTCTGTTCCCTTGAGTAGAGCTCTCCCAGCTGCGTAGCGGCTGTTGCTACAGAAGGGAGTGGAAGGTTGGTTGCTTCTCGGTGTCCGTCCTGTTTTGTCGTCGCTGCTGCTGCTTGTTCGGGGATGGAGGCCAGCACATTTCACACGTGACAACAACTCGACTTTATGTACAGAAACTTATGTACATATTTACAAGACTTGACCGTCGGAACCGTCGCATGTTGCCTCGGCAGAGCCGATAGTGCAGAGCACTCTTTGTTGCGACCAGACCCTCTCGCGAGGCCTCGGAAGCCAGGTTTTAATACCTCGGTTGCCCCTCCCGATTCTCCTCACGGCCAACCAAAGCAATTTAGTCCGTTTATTGGACAGACAACACACTTGTTGCCGTCCCCTCTTCTCGGTCGGAAAGAGAGAGACGACAGGACCGGCCTGCCCCCAACATTCCGCGAACTGTGCAAACGCACACAATGGTGGCGCCGTTCGGCTGCGGGCCTCCTGCATTACCGCGAGATGACTACGCTGTCGTCCCGCGGACTCTACTCCTGACGGAGCCGGCAATCCGCATTCCGGGGACCATTTAGCTGGTTGCTAGAAGCAGCGATTGACCGTGGTATTCTTGCCAGAAGGGGCGTGCTTACGCCGAGATTATCGTCTCCCGAGAATAGGCTTTTTGGGAAGCGCGCCCTTTTGAGACCGAGAAGACTCGCTCCCGTGGCCTGCGACGCCAGACCTTACATCGGCGCCATCACATTCAAAGTAGTCTGCAGCAAAACACCGTTGGTGCATGTGGAAGTTGCACTACTTCGACAATGAGCCTCACAAGCTTACACGAAGTGAAATGCAAAGAACAGAGGACGAGAGTTGCAATATGGGCTTGTTGGTTATGCATTTAAAAGAATTTCATATAATGCGAAACGAAATACAGAAACAGGTAAGCATGTCCTGTTCATCTGTGCCTTCCTGTTGTCATATTTCGTTTTGTGCTACATAAAATTCTTTCAAATGCAAAGAATGTGTGTATAGGCCAAATTCTCTATGCGTGTGTGGTGTTTTTTTGCTGCTATCTAGGCGTTCTAACCATGACCTCTTAAGATTGTATGCTGGCGTGCATTCTCAGAAGTCGTGCTTTGATTGCATCGTCGACGAATTGTACTCTATCGGCGCCAGTAAGTATGCCGCGTTACTTCTTCATCGTTCACAGACGGCATCGTGCTTCATCGTTCACAGACGGCAGCTATGCCCCGCCCCGCTAACGGAGACAACTGTGGGAGAGATAACATATGAGAGATACAAGGTGCGTTTGTAAAAGGTCTTTCATCTGCTACGATAGCTCAGTTGTTTGAGCAGAGCGTTGGGCGCATACCGCCGCGGCCTGTAGAGTCGGAGGTTCGATTCCTGACGGGAAAGGGAACATTTTTATAAAAGTCTTTTTCTTTCCGATTTGGTAGCATTCATTTTATCAACGTCACAAAAGTCTTGGTGGACCTCAGCATAAAACACCATGTTAAAATACGGCCGCTTCAGGGAGAGCTACACTTTTCGCACAGTAGCTTTGCGATGAGAGTGCAGCACGTAGAACTGTATGCGAGCCACCCGCTGAAGGCTTCCGAGCTGGTGTGCGCGCCAGCGGTCGCGATCACGCCCTTAAAAGCAAAGTTGACCATTGTTGCTCGAGCGACATCTCTTCCCCCTCCCTCGCTTTTTTTTTTTTTCATGCTTTTCAAGACAGGTAGAGTGCTTCCACTCTGCTTCTACAGCAGGCCTCCCATGTGGGAGTTATTGAATGCACCCTTTGAGCGACTGAGATGGGTCGTATTGTTTGATCTTGGCGTTCGTTGCGCCGCTCGCGCGCTTATACACAGGGGTAGAACATAGTGTGTGCCGGGATTTTATTCATTTGGAATTTGTAAGGAACATAACGGCGTCAAAAACTCGTCAGGAGTGTTCATATGATTTCTATCACAATAATAGGGCTTTTGCACAATTTAGCTTAGTGCTTGTAAAAAACGCAGCATTGGACAAATGCTGCTTTACAAGTGCTGTGTAATAGAGCTACATCTGCTCCGAATGTTCTGACTGTTCTAAATTTGTTCGAAGAGGCCTTTCTGGCTGGTCCAAGCACTTTTGCTTGCTCCCAAGACTGCTGTGAAACCCATGTACGCTGTTCCACCCCTGCATGTAGGTCTCCTCTGGCTCCTGCAGAGCCACGACTGCAAGTGAGAGAAATTGCCACCTGTGATGTCACCTCGCTTTCTGGCCGTGCTCCCCATGCTTTAGGCAAGGCACTGTGGTGCCACATGTTATGCAGTCAAGAACGGCGATAGTGTACATGGCATCACACGACTTCATGTAGGGGCAGACAACTTTAATGGGCTAGGAATTTTCAGGCATTTCACATTCTATTTTTCTGTTATGTTGAACGTCTTGGCATGAGTGTCATTGCAAGAGGTTTGGAAAGGTATTTTAACGGACATCAACTTAATGTTCGGGTTTGGCGTTTCTTGAAGCGGGATCGACATCATTATAGCGGTATAATGGGTTACAGTGCTTGTCTGGTGACCCGAAAGAGTCTGGTTCAAATCAGGCCAAAGTTGCATTTCGGTGGATGAAAAATGCTAGAAGCTCAGGTACTGTGTTGAAAACTGTTGAAAGATAAAGAAGCCCAAGTGTTCGAAATTATCTATAGCTTTCTACTATTTGATCTTTCGTTGCCAAAGCTGCTTTTAGGATGTCAAATACTGCAAGTCAACCACCCTAAAGCAGGATCGCCTTCTATAAGATCTAGCAAGGCAGAATAGCTGTAGTAGAAACTGCAGCCACATGAGAGTTTCATAGGCCGTTTCCAATGCATAATTTCCATGGCATAGGCTTTGTTTTGAAACTGTTTTTGTTGTGTATGTGTGTATATACTACTGGCCCAGTATGAACAACGCCACGCGAGTGTATGCATGGAATGTTGTGCAGTTGTACTGATTATGGCATACACTAAAACCTCATTATTACAAAGTTGCGTCTTACACGAAAATAAGTTTTTTATACCTGAAAATCATTATGAAGGTATATTCTTAACTCTGTTTATTGCAAGACTATTACTCATTCACTTTGTTGTAATTGATATTTCGTTATGTCCAGGTTTTGTTATATGGAGGTCTGAGTATTTTTGTGTTATTGGGAGAGAGCTTCATTGTTTTTATGGTCGTGCAGCGCTCCCCACTTGCTTGCTTTCACAGTTATCATTTTAGAAGCTGAGACACACCAGAGCACAAAACGAGGGTGAGCGTGAAAGTCGGTGGAGGTTTTGGGCACTTGCAGGAACAGCCAAACCCTCCCCTGATTACTTGAAAACATGTTGCGTTTGGCGCAGCTGTGCAACCTGACAGTACGCTTGGCCGCGCACTCCTACCACGGTGTAGCTCATACTGGGAGTGGTCATTCAGTGGTCGCTCCTTAAACGAAATATAAAGGGACCAGGAAAATGTGTTCTGTCTAGCAGGAGTTTCATTTAATGAGAGATGAAGAGAGGTGTAGAATGCAAGTATGAAACCATTCATATTAGAGGCATTTCTGTGCAAACAGCAGATTCATTCAACATATTTCCGTTTATTGAGAGTCTACTGTACATGCTTTCTGTCTATGACTGACAATAGCAGTTTTTAGATTTTCATTATTTTTTGCTGCTTGAAGGGACTGTCTGCTGCTCAGAAAAATGTTTCTGATTGTGGCGCAAATGAAAAGACTCATCACATCGACGGCAACGAGCGTGCTTTCCTGCCAGGAAAAATGACGTATAATTTTAACTTGCTGTTGAAAGTCAATAAAAAGTGACCACTAGCGTCACCGAACAGCAAATGTGGTAAATCTTGACAATCTATTGGTAGGACAAAAAATCCTCGCAGGTAGACCTATTTTGCTTGAAAACAAACACGTTTGACTTGAATTTGTATTTTATGCACTTGAGGCAGCTTTAGGTTGTGCCGGGGACCAATTTTTGCTTTTTTTTCTCATGTGCACGGTGGCGCTGCCGGCGATGTCTTCACTTGCCTGCATGTCTGCCTGCAAAAAGTGGAGAAACGTGACTACAGGGTCCTCCGCCACTCATAAGACCAACAAAGAAATGTGTGCATGCCTAAAATGACCACAGAGGTATTTGTTTTATTAATAACTAAACTTGCTGAAGCCTGCAATAATAGGACGCGGTTTCAGTTTTCGGCTTTCACCGGCACCGTCCAGTGTTGTGGGCACTCCTCCCACCAACGAAAAAGGCATAACGGGAACAGACTAATTCTGTTAAAAAGATCTCTACCCACTTTCCAGAGAAACCGCTGCAAGGTTTGACACTTCACATGGTCTGCTTTTTATTGTGACACATAACAGGAGAGCACTGAAGGACGGTAGACAGTCCCCTTAACAATAGAGACAAGTTTTAGGCATTAATGAGCAACCCAGGTTTTCAGGTCTCGGCTTTTCAACGTATCATTCAACTCAAGCACTCCTGTCCCGATTTCAGCCATGCAGGAGTTGGAAACCTTAACTGTGCATCCCTAGTAGCAGTGAGAAATTTTTATCAGCTGCCAACGGCTTTGCCATTCAACATGAAGTAATTGCACTTCTGCTATGATAACTTCGTGTGTATTACAACATTTACTGAAGTCTGGTGCTGAAACTGTACAAAATACACCTGTATGCTGAACTGTTTCAGGTTAGGTGACCTAAATTATGGCAAATTGAATAGCGGTTATCATATCTTCTATTTTTTTTTTGTTAAACTGGGAGGTGCTGAGTGCCCTAGGTAATGCATTTGGCCAAAGCAAAGAAATTGGCAAAGAATTGCTGTCATTCAGCTCTCTTCAACATGCAGGATTTCTGTGCGTGTGGGCAGCAGTTTCCACGACCTACAGGAGCTGGAGGCTGTGGACTTGACGGAACCTACGGGCTGGGTGCACATTGCGACATGTGACGCAGCTGGCCATCCTGTGCGTACCTTCTTTGTGCAAATTGCTGTGCTCTCGAATCACCAGAACGGCCGGGACACCCACCTCCGCCAGATTAAGGTGCACTCGCCTGTGCAGCAAGCGAACGTCAGTGTCGTGCCCAAAGTCAACTTCACCAGTGTCGACTGCCGTGCCTTCAGCTGCATACGCTGACTGTGTAACGAGCCTGCTTTCCCACTGAACAGAAAGGAGTTCATGTCATTTTGCAGTTGACTTTTTCTAAACATTATTAGTTTTTTTTGTCGCTTCATTCAAAACTGTGACACATTTGCTAAAAGAAAATGGCAGAAGATCTTGATTCACTGAAGTGTGTTATCACTTCATTGCTAATTGCTCATAGCAGGCCCATGACGATTTCCGAATTCACAAAGGTCTACAAGTCTGAGGAAGGCCATCCCGTGCCATTTGATAAATTTGGTTGTGCAAATGTTCACCAGTTTCTAAACAAAATTTCTGACGCAGTTACTTTAAAGCATGGCCCTACTGGAGAATATGTAATTCAACCTAAGATAACGCAGGAAGTCAAGCACATTGACCGATTGGTCAAGCAACAAAAGCCAAGCTCTGCAAAATCTAAAGTCAAGCACCCGATGTACAGACCACCGGTGCGAGGGAGGTATGTGCCAAGGGCCCGAGGAGGTGGCAGTTCCTTTGGTGGAAAAGGCCGCGCAATAACAGCCATGGCACCACAGATGCAGTCTGTACCTTCAGTTTCACAAGACATGCTTCCAAGCATTCCAGATTCAAAGAACAGAACTTCACCTGAATCAGTGGCCTCAACAGGCACAGCTCAATACAGGGGTGTGTCAAAGCTCCACCATTCATTACTACAAAATTCCACTGCTTTCAACGGCAATGCATCAAGTTCTCCCACTCATACGAACACAAAAGACCATTTTGAAGTCGATTCACCCAGTCACTCCGCCCGTTTCGTTAAACAGGAACAAGTTCTTATAGAATCTCTGTTTGCTTCTCAAAGTGAAAATTGTAAGGAAGTTTCGAACACTGCTGAGCATGCACACTACAGTGGTGACACCATGAGCCAATTGTTGGGGCTCAACTTAGTTTCTGTAAAGCAAAGTAAACATTATATGCCCTGCAACAGCCTTGTTCAAAAGTGGATAGCGCAGCAGCATGTTACCGGTGGCATGTTTCAACCTGCGTGTACACAGACTTTGCCGGTGCAAGGTACCAGCGCTATTCCTGGTCAGCCTTTTCTGAGGCCTTCACTGTGTCATCCGTTCATGCCTTCACCACAAAAAGCGGATGTTACCTGTAATAGTGAACCAAACGGGCAGGTTGTGTGCAGTATGCTCAATCCTGATGCTGTTGCATACCAACCCACACCTACTGGCGCACAAGCAAGTACTGGCCGAGATGAACGCTCTAGGGGAGCTGTCAGCAGAGAGTTTACTGACAACCAGACACAAGTTGCACCTGAAGTGGTGAACAAAGGAACATCAACAGATGATTTTTGCATTCCAAAAGGTTTTGCAACTTGCTTGAGGAGCATTTTAGATGAGTATCCAACTGGTGTTGACATTAAAGTGCTAATGGGAATGTGTGAGGAAAGAATTGGAAGTAGTGCTTACTTCACGCAGAATAAGCACCCCCTTGAAATGTTGCCAGATATTTTATCTTCAGTCTCTTCGGCATGCGTTATGCCAGACTCGAGAGGTGTGTACAGAGTAATGCTTCCCTGGAAGGAAAAGGAGAGTGGTGTTCCTCCCCTGCCTGATGATATCAGGATTGGATTGCAGTCTATTCTCCTCAATTATCCGAAAGGCCTCCAAGTTTCAGAGCTGCTTGACATCTATGAAAACCAGTTTGGTGAGCATGACCACATCAAAGCTTATGGCCAGTGCACAAGCGGCTTCATTCGTAACATACTGTATGCACTTCCCTTCGCAGCTGTGAAAAACCGTGGTGATGGAGAACACATCGTACAATTAACTGAAGAGGGTCTTCAAAATTCATTGCAGCACGTAGGTCAATCTACTCCTAAAATCGCTGCTGAAGAGTTCTACGCTTATCCCATACAAGAACTGCCCCACTGCTGGACATTTTCTGTTGCTATAGGAGAAGTGTTTTCTCCATCAGACTTTTATTTTTTAATTACAGAAGACGGTGCGATCTCTCAACTAACATACCTAATGAATGAGCTAGACGAGTTCTACAACAGTGCTGCTTCGAATTTTTATTCTGTAAACATCAACGATTTGAAGCCCGGGCTTGTTTGTGCTGCTCTGTACACGACTGATGGACAACCACTCTGGCATAGGGCAGTTGTAAAAAGTGTTCAGGCTTGTGAAGTGTTTGTGTTCTACATTGATTATGGCACAGTAATGCCTGTGAAAGTTTTCGAAATCAGGAGACTGCGATCCGACTTTTTAAAACTTCCTGCACAGGCAATCAAGGCTTCGCTTTCAAGTGTAAAGCCTGATAATGAGCAGGCATGGACTCCTAAAGCTAAGGAGCGCTTCTTGCAGCTAGTGAAAATGGGTGAATGCACCTGCTCTGTTGTGCGCAAAGAGGAGGACATCTGTTTCGTTGAGTTGATAATGTCTGATGGCAAGATGGAGTTCTCTCTTAGTGAGGTCATGGTTTATGAAGAGCTCGCAGTAAGCACAATTGTGACGGAAGCAGTTGCACCAAGAACTGCTATAGAACCGTGGACTTTCTCGAATGGTTACACTGCTGACATCATTGTGTGGAATGGGCAACGCTACATGTCTTCTATGGCTATCTCAAAGGTTTTTGGCTGGAAAGAGGACTTGGTTTCAAAAAAGCTTTCTGATAAGAATGTCCGTGTGAACGGTGCTTTACTGGAAAAAAAGTGTGTCCCAGAACTTCACCTTGAAGTATGTCTGAGCGACAATGTCTTTTATTTTGACAGCATCCAGTTGTATAACTTAGAGAGCGTTCCATTCATTCTCCAAATCTTGCAACATCCATTGGACAATTTGAGATATGAGTTGGAAAGCAAGTTGGTCAGCTTCAATACTCTGTCTGATGGGACTGTGTCTATGGATAAAGCGGACAACTGTGATAAGCGGTGCTCTGGTTATGATGACGACTCACCACTGACTAATGATGCTAGCAGGTCGCAAGACAGTGCTCAATCTTCTGCATTCATGCCGCAAAGTCAGACCAATGTCACTAGCAGCGGAAACTCGCAAGATGCTTTCAGACGTAACCTCGAGACAAAATTGGCAGAATTGAAGCAGAAACGGGCTTCGTTGAGGATGGCATTTTACAAGAACCGAGACTCTGTTGCTCTACCTGAACTGGAGTTTATTGAAAGAAAAGTTGACTCCTTCACAAAGGTGCTGAATGAGCTCGACATCAGCTCTGGTCACCAAGTTGTCACAGAGCCTTCCAATCTGTCAGCATCCAGCTCTTCTAAGAACCCCAACAACACGACAGGAAGTTCTCCTCAAAGTGTTGTAGACAAGTTCCAAAGCAAGCTACTGGAAGCATTGATGACTTCAAAGCAGAAGTGATCGACGTTACAAGTTGTGTGTTGCTTTTATTTATGTGGCAAAGAACTAAAGTTTTTCTTTTTGTTTAGAGTGCCATCTTTAAATTTAGGTGTTCATAAGTCATTGTACAAATCGTGCTGCATTGTTAATAAATTGTTTCAATCTGTACCTTGGCTTCCTCTATATTCGATTTCTTGGAGACTATGGTATGTTAGACTGTGCAGCATGCAAGTATAATGAATATTTCACACTTAGACCCCCATTTGTTGGGATTTCCAATCCAGTCAGTGCCATGGCTGCTGCATAAAAAAAAAAGTGCGGCCTGTAGCCTATTGCCAAAGTGACCTCTCGGGCCTAGTTCTCCCCGCACCAGCGTTTGCCCCACTTTTCTAGTACAGCCAGCTGCTCACAAAAAGAAGCACTTCCACTGACACATTGATATACAGAACAGTGACTCTAATTAGGTCGTAAGTAATGCATTTTATATTTGCACAATAGGTAATATTGAACTTGTTTTCAGAAGTGCCGACTACCCCACATATGTGAGCAGTTTGCCTTGACAGTTCCAGTCTTTTGTAGAGTGGGCCTCTATTCTCTCCACAAAAGCTGCCCGCTTAACTCACCTGAAGCGAAAAGACGTGCTCTATTACGAAAAATTGAGTTAAAAAGAGTCTCTTCATTTGATCTCAATAGGCCTGCCATTTTTTCAACCGTGCTTCTGGATGAGCAACTTTCTTTTTAAATGTGTTCATTGCTTTCCACGACTGACTCGAGAGGTACGCAAGATGTAATGTGGTTTGGCGGCCTAATCTACAGGTAGGCTACGTTCCGTACATGATTCTGAAGTCTACTGTTGAATGAGAGTTTAGTCTCGTCTTTTCTTTTTACAGGGTGCGGGTAATCTTTGTATGTTAGGGCTTTCTCTTCGGCCTTCACAATCAACTGCCCCAACTACTGCGTCAACTGCATTCATACGCCAGTGTTACCTGGGCTGCCTGTTTTTTGCGTGTAGTGTGAATAACTGGCAAACACAGTCGGGACACTGCAGATCGAGGGGGAATTCATGCTACTTCACAGTAGCATCTTTTCTCCCATTCGAGTTGCTCAGTGGCTCGACTGCAGCTTTCTCGATTTTGGGAAGGCTTTCAAAAAAGTATGCCACAAACTACTACTCTTCAAGTTGAGCAAACTAAACCTTGGTTCTATCCTTTATTCCTGGCTTGAATACTTCTGTAAACGCTCCCAGTTTGTAACTGTTAACAGTTTTCTACTTTCTCGCAAAGCCCTGTCTACTCTGGTATGCCTCATGGGTCTGTATTAGGCCCTCTTTTCTTTCTAATTTATATTAATGGCTTACCTAGGTGTATGGTTTCTAACATACACCTATTTGCACATGACTGTGTAATTTTTTGAGAAATGAATGACATCTATGACTCTGGTATTGTACGAAATTGCCTCGCTTCCGTCGCAGAATGGTCTAACTCTTGGCTAATGCAGCTTAATTCATCCAAGTGTTAAGTTTTGCGCACTTCTCGCACATCACGTTTTTTTTCCCGCTACATATTACCTAAATAGCAATATTCTTAAACAAGTCGTGTCGTACCGCTGCCTTGGCATTCATATAACTATTCTTAACTTGGTCACCTTATATCAGTAGCATAATTAACAGTGCTAACAGCATGTTAAGCTACCTTGCCGTAATGCTTTTAAAGCACCCACTTGTTTAGAACTAACATTGTACAAAACGCTTGTTAGTAGCAAACTAGAATATGCATCAGTCACTTGGGACCCGTGTTTGTATAACGGGTAATTAATGCACTTGAGCTTGTACAAAACAATGCTGTCTGCTTCATTTTAACGAGCTACAATCGTACTGCAAGAGTCGTCACCATGAAAAACATTTATTTTACCACCTCTGGCATCTCAATGCCATGTTTCACGCTTATCTTTGTTTCATAAAATTTTTTCCCATTGCCATAATATACATGAAATCATATCTTCTTCATCTTTTGTAACACCCAGGCTAGGTCATTCTCGCAAAGTTCGGGCACCTTCATTTCAGACAAAATTTTGTTCACAGGCCTTCGCTCCCCACACACCAGTAGACTGGAACTACCTTGCTGCATCGACAGCCGGCATCGAGGACAACGCTTGCTTTCGAAGTAACTTGGCTAGCATTGTATACCAAGGCTAGAAAAAAATGTGTTCATTGTTCTGTACTACCCTGTTAATTTGTAAATAGTTACAGCGTTATATCTAAGCATATAAACCATGAAGGTAACGCTTGTATCTCGAATTTCATTTTTTTGTATTTATTTTTATTGACCACTTCCCTCTATACTGCCTTTTTGACTTGAGGGCATCATCTAATTAAAAAAAAAACAACTAAGAATACCCATTGTCTCCTGCAGCACTCTCTCTTATAAAGGGTTCTGACTGTATATAGAACTGAATGGTGGCTTGTTGCTGACCATTTAGACCATTTGATCATTCAGGCATAGTTAGTTGCTTAGCCACAGGAAAGTGCTGGAGAAAGTGTGGCTTTGTGGGTCACTTGTTTGTGATTGGGTGGTTGTATCCTAGAATTAAATGTGGCTACTTGGTAAACCATATTGATCCTTTTGGAGTGACATTTGTTGCTGAAAACATTTCTACAGAAACTGGTGCATTTAAAATTTGAGTGATATACTTCTAAAAAGAATAACCAAACACCCTGTTTTTTCTGTCTTTAGTCACCCCTATGTCAGGACTCGTGAACAAACACACACACACACTTATGCACATGCTTGACATTTTTAGTATAAAAAACGCAGAAGCTCGGTGTTTTTGGCAAAGCAGGTGAGTACATATGCGTGCGCACAATTATTGAAGCCTAGTAAGTTTAGTGACAGTAGTGTATAAATTAGGCACAGAAACCTTCCGAAATGTTGCAATTATATATATATATATATATATATATATATATATATATATATATATATATATATATATATATATATATATATAGCTTTCTATATTATATACTTTCTGTGCCCGCTCGAAAGAGGCGGAGCCTCTGTTCGTGCTCTGTGCCCGCTTGGCATCGTTCCCCCAAGAGATAGCGCCATCAGCCATGGGGAGCGTGGAGACAGTTCGCCGCAGACCCGTGTAGTAGACGCGTGTGTTGACTGCTATGCTCCCGTGATTGAAAAAGCTTTTGCGTGTTTTCGTGATGCCATGGCTTACTGTTGTGTTCTGAAGTGCAACTCGGATACTAAACGTAAGGTACCTGGTATTTCGTTTCATGAGATTTCTTGTGAATCTGAAGTGAGAGCAACCTTGTTGAAAGATATCGCTAGGAAAGACTGGACGCCGAACATAACATCACGTTACTGTGTTGTGTGTAGCCGCCATTTTGTACCCACAGACTATAAAGACGGATGCAAACCGCTGGAACTCAAGAGAGGGGCAGCTCTAAGCATTTCCTCCGACTGCCCGCAGTACATGCAGTCAAAGCCGAATAAACTGCGGGGCGATGCAGCTGTGAGAAATGAGCGCTTGCTGCTAACAATGCTGATGCACAGCTTTCCGAGAAAGGCACGGCGACAAGCCTGCAGATGAACTCTCCTCAAGTTTTAGCTCTCCAGGTCTCACAGAAGTTTTGTGCTTCGATTGATTTATATGTGGGGTTTAACGTCCCAAAATCACCATATGATTATGAGAGACGTCGTAGTGGAGGGCTCCGGAAATTTGGCCACCTGGGGTTCCTTAATGTGCACCCAAATCTGAGCACACGGGCCTACAGCATTTCCGCCTCCATCGGAAATGCAGCCGTCGCAGCCGGGATTCGATCCCGCGACCTGTGGGTCAGCGGCCGAGTACCTTAGCCACTAGACCACCGTGGCGAGGAGTTTCGTGCTACAGGCTGAGGTGCATGCTGCGAATGCCCCTACTGAACCAATCTCAAAGCTCGAAGCCACCCAAGTAGATGTTCGCAGCAGCATTTCTGTTTTGGAACGCCAGAAATTTCGATGGAAGGAGCATGATTTAAAGGCACAAATACAATAGCTGCGACCAACAGGTTGAGCTGCATGCTACAGGTTGAGATGCATGCTGCGGATGCTCCTACTGAACCAACCTCGAAGCACGAAGCCACCCAAGTAGATGTTTGCAGCAGCATTTCTGTTTTGGAATGCCAGAAGTTTCGATGGAAGGAGCGTGATTTAAAGGCACAAATACAATAGCTGCGACAAACAGTAGACAAGTACAAAGAAGAACTGAAAGAAGATAGTAATTTGACTGCTTTTGTCGAAGTAGTTAAAGCCGCACGAGAAAAGCACGTAGGGGCCTGCATCCTTGTTGACCAGGTGAATACTTTCTCCAAGATCAGACCTGCTTACTCCAGGGTTACAGTTCGTAACTGTGTTGTCCTTAGAAATCTGTCACCAAAGGCCTATGAATTCATAAGAAGGGAAAATTTCTTGAAGCTTCCAAGCAGGACCACGTTAGAGGTTTCCGGGCATGACTACTGGTGAAGTGGGATTTACGAGCCTCGTGAAAGAACGCCTTAAAGCGGAACTGGAAAATCTCGCTGTCCAGCAAGCCAAAGTGTGTTCACTAGTTATGGACAAAATTAGGATATGATAACGCCTTCAATACAACAAGCAGAAAGATGCATTTATAGGAGAGATTGGCTTGGGTAAGGATTGTGCAACATCAACGAAAAGGGAGCCAGTCCTAGCAAATTCATTATTGGGTTTTGTTTTGACAGGACTCTCCATGCGCATTTGAATACCCGTGGGGTATTTTTTTACAAATAACTCCACTGGACAGCAGCTCTTCACGCTGATGAAATATGTGCTAAAAGAAGTGGAGGCAGCTGGATTCATTGTAGTGCGCATTGTGACAGAAAATCACCAAATTAATGTCCTCGCTTTGGAAATGCTTTGCAGTGGAAAACTATAGCATTCTATAGAGCATCCCCAAGATCCTCACCGAAAGCTGTTCATCGCCTTCGATCAGTGTCATCTGATAAAGAATATCAGGTCACAGTTTCTGGCCCGAGATATGGGAAAAAACGGTAACGTTACACCCTCTCATCTGAAAAGCCTGTACAAGATGCAGCACGAGAGCGTAATCAAACCTGTGCGATTCCTGACGAGGAAGCATGCATTTCCATCGAATATTGA